TGGGGCAGCGGGCCTCCAGCAGCAACAGCCTGGTTGACCAGGCAAGCACCAGACGAGCCTGGCCCATGGCCGGGCTCAGAGAGTAGATATACTCTCAAAATTCTTCAAAGGTATATCATAGGTAAATATAAAAGTGTAAGTATAAAAGTAAATATATTAACCCTTTCAGGGTCCAAGGCCAAAATCTGAAGTGGTGCCCCAGTGTCCAAGAATTTAAAAAAAAAAAAATTGTTATTTTTTCTTATGAAATGGTAGAGAATCTTTTTGTGAAGGTAATAAAACAAAAAGTGCGAAATTTAATGGAAAATTGACGAAATTATGCTCTCGCGAATTTTGATGTGTCAGTGATATTTACGAATCGGCGATTTTGCCGACTTTGACTCCCATTTTAGGCCATTTACATTATTCCAGTTGACCAAATTCTTAGCTATTTCACTAGTATTACTTCTATTCTATCGATTGAGCACAAGAAATTGCCAAGTCAACTGTTTCAACTACAAAATAAAGTGATCGGAAATTGGTAATTTGGCCAATTTAACACAAAGTTCAAAATATTCCAATTTCAAAATAAGGTCCAGAATAAACAATGTAGGTATTCCTGACACTAAACTAACATTTCCTCTATTCATTAGTTACGTTTTGAGGCTTTACAAATGAATTCCATTTTGATTTTTTATTCACATAATGAATTTTTATTCACACCAAAAAATAGAAGATTTACTGTTATGCAATATTGTAATAATTGTATAAATTTCATCACCACATTTGTGAATGTATATTAGACCCACCAGCTGGTGTGTATTAGATGTGTGAGGTCGTTTGTTTACTCTTGAACATCGGCAAAAATTTAACATTTCTGCTACTTTGAGCTCAGTTTCAAGCCATTTCCAGTACTAAAACCAATCAAAATCATCTCTAGTTCTGTAATATGTCTTCCATTCTATCAAATGAGACCAAGAAATCGCAAATACAATTATAAAAAACATACGAAAAAATACTGCAAAATCTCTGTTTTAATCGAAAATCACGGTCTCAGTTTTTTTTTCTCTCATTATACACAGTGTGCTGCAGGATTTGTTTTATGTGGTGCACACATACCACATAGATGTATTCTCTCATATCTAGGCCCAAATTTACCACTCTCAGTTTATCAGTGAGCTGAGCTTATGGCATAGATCTACGGTTTGGACCCTCAACGTAAAGCCGTAGATCTACGGGACGGACCCTGAAAGGTTAAGTGTAAATATAAAAGGGCCCCAATGGAAATACGTAAGTCATTCTGACTTTTTTTGGTTATCCTAGGTACTTTACACATATGCTGCTATGTATGATAATTTATGTAACTATATTTGTGTATACCTGAATAAACTTATTTATTTATAAATTAAAATGTAAATATTTCTTATTTATAAATTACATATATTCTCTAAGTGTGATAGTGTTGGTGGCAGAAGCCTCCACCGCCACCAACACAACTTCTCTCAGTGGAGCCCCTTAACCCTTTCAGGGTCCGTCCCGTAGATCTACGGCTTTACGGTGAGTGTCCAAATCGTAGATCTACGCCATGAGCTCAGCTCACTCTGATAAACTGTGAGTGGTACATTTGGGCCTAGATATGAGAGAATACATCTATGTGGTATGTGTGCACCACATAAGACAGATCCTGCAGCACACTGTGTATAATGAGAGAAAAAAACTGAAATCATGATTTTTCGATTAAAACAGCAACTTTGCAGTGTTTTTTCGTATGTTTTTTATAGTTGTATTTGCGATTTCTTGGTCTCATTTGCTAGAATGGAAGACATATTACAGAAATAGAGATGATTTTGATTGGTTTTAGCACTGGAAATGGCTTGAAACTGAGCTCAAAGTAGCAGAAATGTTAAATTTTTGCCAATATTCAAGAGTAAACAAACGACCTCACACGTCTAATACACGTCAGCTGGTGGGTCTAATATACATTCACAAATATGGTGATGATATTTATACAATTATTACAGTATTGCATAACAGTAAATCTTCTATTTTTTGGTGTGAATAAAAATTCATTATGTGAATAAAAAATCAAAATGGAATTTATTTGTAAAGCCTCAAAACATAACTAATGAACAGAGGAAATGTTAGTTTAGTGCCAGGAATGCCTACATTGTTTATTCTGGACCCTATTTTGAAATTGGAATATTTTGAACTTTGTGTTAAATTGGCCAAATTAACAATTTCCAATCACTTTATTTTGTAGTTGAAACAGTTGACTTGGCGATTTCTTGTGCTCAATCGATAGAATTGAAGTAATACTAGTGAAATAGCTAAGAATTTGGTTGAATGGAATAATGTAATTGGCCTAAAATGGGAGTCAAAGTCGGCAAAATCGCCGATTCGTAAATATCGCTGACACATCAAAATTCGCGAGAGCATAATTTCGTCAATTTTCCACCAAATTTCGTACTTTTTGTTTTATTACCTTCACAAAAAGATTCTCTACGATTTCATAAGAAAAAATAACAATTTTTTTTTTTAAATTCTTGGACACTGGTGCGTGACTCCAGATTTGGGCCTTGGACCCTGAAAGGGTTAAACTCAACAATAACACTTACATCATTTGCTCCTCTCATACATTATGACATATTTTATTCATTCTAGAGCATATATCATGTTTCTATGTTATTAATCTTGTTTGTAATGTCATATTAGATTAATTGTGATAGATAAATAAGCGTCATATTGAAGCATAATAAACTTGTCTTCCTCTTGCCTCCTACGTGTCTGACATACACCAACAAGTCGAGCCAATAAAGATAAGTCAATAAAGGTAAGTGTGAAGTTAAATGTTCATTTATCCATTTTAATTTTATTAGTGCTTTATATTTATTTGTCATTGTTTTCTATATGCATATTTATATTTGATCTTTAAAAAAAATATTTTTTTGTGAATACTTTTGGTTGTCTGAAACTGATTAATTGGATTTCCATTATTTCTTATGGGGAAAATTAATTCGACTAACGGATAGCCCTCTGAAACGGATTAATGCCGTTGGTCGAGGGTCCACTGTACGTCATTGCAGCCAGGGTCGGTCACATACTTGTACACCTAAATTCTAGCGCCTTCAAATTTGATGGAAGTTGACAGGCCAGCATAATAAAGAACGGGTCTGTGTGGTCAGTGTGCATAGTATAAAAAAAATCCTGAAGCACGCTGTGCATGAGAAAAAAAAACTTCGACTTTTTTTTTTTTTAAACAGTGACTTTCTAGTGTATTTTCATATGGCATTTATGGTTGTATTCTCGTTTCCTTGGTCTCATTTGATAGAATGGAAGATATATTACAGTAATAGAGATGATTTTGATTGGTTTCATGATGACAAGTACCTTGAAATTGAGCTCAAATGATCAATTTTTGCCGATGTCCAAGCGTAAACAAATCAAGCCATACGTCCAATACACATCAACTGGCGAGTCTAATATTCTTTCACAAGTGCGCTGATATCATTTATATTGTTTTTACAATGATGCAGTAATATACATAACAGAAAACCTTTTGTTTTCTGTGAGAATAAAAATTCAAAATGGAAAGCAAAAGTAATGCAAAAGGGGCCTAGAGATGTGACTAATGAACAGATAAAATGTTATTTTAGAGCCATGAATGTCTGTCTTATTTATTCTGGACCCTATTTCAAAATTGGCCTCTTTTGAAATTTGTGTGAAATTGCCCAAATTGCCAATTTCTGATCACTTTATTGGGTAGTTGAAATCAGTAAATGGGTGGATTCTTGAACTCAGTCAATAGAACAAATGAAGTTTTAGGGGAGTAGCTATGATTTTAGTCAACTGCAACATTAGAATCGGCCGAAAATAGGGCTCAAAATCAGCGAAATCGCCTACTTCGAGACCGCTAACTTCGAGAGAGCATAATTCTGTAAATTTTCATCAAATTTCATACTTTTGGTGTCATTATGATCGGAAAAAGATTCTCTATTATTTCCCAAGAAAAAATAATTTTTTTTTTTCGAAAATTTTTCGACCCTGAGAACGAGTTTGGGAGAGGGCCTCTCGACCCTCAAAGGGTTAATTCACCATTTGGCATCATTACAAACTGGGCAGAGCTACAGCAGATGGAGAAGCAGCAGCGTGTCAGTAACTCATGATTCCCCATGATGCTTCACCCCATTATAAAATATTGTGTAATTATACTATTACTATCAATAAATGTTTTCTACTTATCATATTTATTCCAGAATAATATTAGGTATAACATAAATAACGTAGAAGCACGATAAAGACGCCCAAATTAATAAAAACTGACATTACATAGAGAGGTGTTGAAGGGTGGAGGGCAGAGAGGGATTAAAAAAAAAAAAGTGACCGAGAAAACATTATGCGTCTGAAGGGTAGCTATGGAAGATCACTCAGATTGAAAAAAGTGCAATTTTCTAAAAAAAAAAAAAAAAAAAAAAAAAAAAAAAGTAATCAGCTATGCATGCGTTTCCTAGAATATCACGGGAGTCACTGACCTATTGCATGCTGTATTACTGTTAATAATAAACAGATTAAAAGGAATTTCCCAGCAAACATAAAACTGAATGTTTTAATTTTGGGTGGCGACACTTTTGAAGTGTCAGTAAGGGGTGATTCCTTGATTAGCGACAAAATCATTGTTAAGTGAGGAGAGTCTGTATTTGTTAATAAGTAATGTAATGGTGGGTGAAAGGACATGAGTTGCTTGTTTAAACAATAGTGGTGGAACCTGAGCTAGATTTCCTGGTTTGTTTTTTAGTTAGGTAGCTTGCCTTTTTGGCAGTGTCTGAGCCAATAGTGTCAGTCTACTCATAATGCTTTGCATTATTATGGGCTTTTCCGTATATGGCACAGTCAATATTAACCAATCTCTAACACAAATATGTTTACTTGGAAAATAAACTTTTATTTTTGTATAAAGTAGCAAGACCAAAGACCAAGAAATGTTGACATACTACATACTTGACATTATACTATACCGTACCTACCTTATTGGAGTAGTATCTGCTTTGCCGCCACTAAGAATAGGAGGAGCTGGTTTTTCTTTATTTCTTTCATACATGCTCTAGAGAGAAAAACAGAACTTTTATTTATGTAATAAGTTTCATAATCATTGCATTTATTTTCAAATCACAATAATAACCTAGATAAATTGTATTGTACATGTTTTGCATAAACACAATAACTTAGACAAAAGTGGCAGTGGCAGATTAATTACAGGTCAGCCATCACTAATCCGGCAATCAATAATCTGGTTCCATCAGTAATCTGGCACTAATTTCGAACAAGCATGATTTCAAATTTTTGGGGTCGCTACACTAACCTGCTGCTACTGTTTGGTGGTGCTACTTGCTGCATAAATCATTCCAATTTCTTTTTTTCCATTTACTGTTATAACCTGCTTACTTTTAGCCCTAGCCATGGTTCCAATGAATAAAAGAAATGCTTCTCGTTGTTTAAAGCACATACTGTACACTGTCCATAAAAGATAAGGTGGCTTTGAAGCCACTGTTGGTTCCCATGAACTCAGCTCACTCAGATAAGCTGTGACTGGTAAATTTGGGCCTATAAATGAGAGAATAGGTCTGTGTGGTAAGTGTGTACTATGTAAAAAAAATCCTGCAGCATGCAGTGCATAATGCAAAAAACTGTGATTGTGGTGTAAAACAGTAACCTTGCATTGTATTATCATATGGTTTTTACTGTTATACAGTGGACCCCCGCTTAACGATCACCTCCCAATGTGACCAATTATGTAAGTGTATTTATGTAAGTGCGTTTGTACGTGTATGTTTGGGGGTCTGAAATGGACTAATCTACTTCACAATATTCCTTATGGGAACAAATTCGGTCAGTACTGGCACCTGAACATACTTCTGGAATGAAAAAATATCGTTAACCGGGGGTCCACTGTATTTTCATTTTTCTGCTCTCACTTGATAGAATGGAAGATATATTACAGAAATAGATGTGATTTTGATAGGTTTCATGACAAAAAGTACCTTGAAATTAAGCTGAAAGTAGTGGAAATGTTCTATTTTTCCCAATGTTCAAGAGTAAGCAAATGATGTTACCGTCCAATAAATCTCCAACTGGCCAGTCTAATATGCAGTCATGAATGGGTTGACATTATTTATACAATTATTACAATAATATAAGAGGGGCCTGGAGATGTGACTAATGAACAGAGAGAATGTTATTTTATTGCCAGGAATGTCTGCATTGTTTATTCTGGATCGTATTTTGAAATTGGCATCTTTTGAAATTTGTGTGAAATTGGCTGAATTACTGATTTCTGACCACTTCACTGGGTAGTTGAAATAGGTGAATGGGTAGTTTCTTGTACTCAGTCGACAGAATAGAAGGAATACTAGTGAATAGCTAGGGGTTTAGTAGACTGGAACAATGGAATGGGCCAAAAATAGGGTGTAAATTGGGTGAAACTGCCGATGTGCAAATATTGTCGTTGGGTTAAGTGTATTCTAACAAAACCACTCTGTAATCCGGCAAAATCACTAATCTGGCACCCTACAGGTCCCTATGATGCCGGATTAGTGATGGCCAACCTCTACTGGGTCCTAGATGTGAGGGGCTTCATGAATCCATTTTGAAGACAATAATAACTTTAATGAAATAACGAAAATGTGTTATTTTTATTTTCAAGTAAGTTTAGTATTTATTACACTATACATTATTATGAATGATAATAAACATCAAGAGATTTTAACTTGTAAATACAGTGGTCCCTCAATAATCGTCGGGCTCGATAGTTGTCCTTTTCGGAAATCGTCGCATTATTTTCCTCTAAACATTGGCTCGCAAGTGGTCGGTTGACTCGCTAATCGTCGGTCGTCCTAAACGCGTACTCATGGCTCTGAGCTGTCTCGGCCTCCCTTCCCAGCCAGTGTGCCATTGTTTACCAGTGAGCAATGGTCCCCTCACTTGTTCATACAAAATATTTCATAATATTTCATTCATTTCATTGCTTGCAAGTGCTAAATAAGCTACCATGGCTCTGAAGAAAGCTCCTAGTGCCAAGCCTTTGGTAAAGAAGGTGAGAAATACGATTGAATTTAAGAAAAACATCATTGAACAATTTGAAAGTGGCGTACGTGTGGCTGAACTGGCCAGGATGTATAACAAATCCCGTACAACCATATCTTCCATCATGGCCAAGAAAAAGGAAATCAGGGAAGCTGTTGTTGCAAAGGGGGTAAATATGCTGACAAAAATGAGATCACCAGTACTTGAAGATGTTGAGAAGTTATTATTGGTGTGGATAAATGAAAACAATTAGCAGGAGATAGTCTTAAGACGTCGATTATTTGTGAAAAGGCTAGGCAGTTGCATGACGATCTGGTAAAGAAATTGCCTGCAACAAGTACTGATATTTGTGAATTTAAGGCCAGCAAAGGTTGGTTTGAGAGATTTAAGAACCGTAGTGGCACACAGTGTGATAAGGCATGGTGAGGTTGCCAGTTCGGACAAAATTGCAGCTACAAAATTCCTAAGTGAATTCAAGGAGTACATAGAGGCTGAAGGACTGAAACCTGAACAAGTGTTCAATTGTGACGAAACAGGCCTCTTTTGGAAGAAAATGCCAAAGAGGACCTACATTACTCAGGAGGAAAAGGGACTGCCAGGACACAAGCCTATGAAAGACAGGCTGACGCTCATGTTCTGTGCTAATGCTAGTGGGGATTTCATAGTGAAGCCGTTACTAGTGTACCATTCTGAAAATCCCAGTGTGTTCAGGAAAAACAATGTTATGAAGAGTAAATTGTGTGTGTTTTGGAGATCTAATAATAAGGCATGGGTCACGAGGGAAATTTTCGTCAAGTGGTTCAATGAGGTGTTTGGCCCTAAGTGTGAAGAATTACCTTCTGGAAAAGAAATTGGATCTCAAGTGCCTCCTAGTAATGGACAATGCACCTACTCATCCTCCAAACTTGGATGACCTAATTCTGCAGGAGTTTGGGTTCATCACAGTAAAGTTCTTGCCCCCAAATACCACTCATCTCCTCCAGCCCATGGACCAGCAGGTCATTTCAAACTTTAAAAAAACTACACTAAAACAATGTTTCAAAGGTGCTTTAATGTGACCTCAGACACTCATTTGACCTTAAGAGATTTTTGGAAAGAACACTTCAGTATCCTCCATTGCATAAGCCTTATAGGTAAGGCTTGGGAGGGAGTGACTACCAGGACTTTGAACTCTGCTTGGAGAAAATTGTGGCCAGATTGTGTCCACAAGAGGGATTTTGAAGGGTTTGTGGCTGACCCTGATGAGCCTATGTCAGTTGTGAACTCCATTGTGGCACTGCGGAGTTCCATGGGTTTGGATGCAAGTTTGGAGGATGTGGAAGAGTTGGTGGAGGACCACAACGAAGAGCTAACCACTGAGGAGCTGCAAGAGCTTCAGCAGGAACAGCAACAGATCACAGCTCAGAATCTTGCTGCGGAGGAGAAGGAAGAGAGAAGGTGCCTTCTTCAGAAATTAAGGAGATTTTTGAAATGTGGGGTAGGATGGAAAGATTTATGGAGAAACATCACCCTGAGAAGGATGTTGCAAGCCATATCAGCAACTTGTACAGTGACAGAGTCTTGGCCCATTTTAGGGAAGTTTTAAAGAGATGCCAGAAACAGAGCTCTCTGGACACTTTTTTTGCGAGACAGGACTCCAATGACTCTCAAGCTGGTCCTAGTGGCATTAAGAAACAAAAAAGAGAAGTAACCCCAGAAAAGGACTTGGTACCTGAGGTGTTGATGGAAGGGGACACTAATCCAATCTCTCTCCTCCTCCAGTCTTCCATACACTAAGAAGAATCCCCAATAAAGGTAAGTGTTATGCTGTGAATGTTTCATTCAACATGTCCCATTGTATTGTTTATGTACTACATCTATATTTCATTTAAAAAATTTTTTTGTTTTAATACTTCTGGGTGTCAGGAACAGATTAATTGTATTTACATTATTTCTTATGGGGAAAATTGATTAAAAAATCGTCTATTTCGATAATTGTCGCACCTCCAGGAATGGATTAACGATGATAAACGAGGGACCACTGTAAATATATTGCTTATGTATTGGCCCAGCACTTCATCTGCTTTTAATCTACTAACTGATCACTACTCTATATCAAAAGCTCCTAATCCAAAATAATTATACAGCAACAAAGGGAAAGAAAAAATGTATAGCTCTTTCTGTTTTTAAAAATCAGGCATTTAATAATAAACACAGGTAGGTGCAGAACAGTGCTGCTGGTGCACTGACTATCCATTCTCTCACCACCCACACTTCATCCTACCCTATGTGGTCATTGCCTCACTAGGCCACAATGCTGATTTGTAATTTTGCAAATGCCTAGGTATAAAAGATTTAAAAATCAAAGAATGCATGTCTTCTCACAACAGTAATTCCAGATGTATTGTACATGCTGTTGCCACAGATAAGCAAGACAAGCATAAATCCTAGAAATCTGAGAATGTGTCTTCTCACAGTAGTAATTCTAGATGTGATATACATGCTGCTGCCACAGATAAGCAAGAAAAGCATAAATCCTATAAAATGAACAGCAACCACTATATTTTTTTTTTCAACGAAGTGGCCATATTCCACTGAGGCAGGGTGACCTAAGAAGAAAAACAATAGCTTCTCTTTTTTTAAATTTAGTAATGTATACAGGAGAAGGGGTTACTAGTTCTCCTGGCATATTAGTCCCCTCTCATGACATGCATGGCTTATGGAGGAAGAATTCCGTTCCAATTCCCCATGGAGAACTAATATATATATCCTAACTTAACTGTAGCATGTTAAGTTTTGGACCAAAATTAAAAATGTGCTTAAATTTTGGTTTAAAATTAAAACATAGCATATTAAAATATATATGATTTTACTAGTACAGTGGTTAAGTTTCCCTTGAAGATGGGGGAAGCAATCTTCAGGTGATTTGCAACATACTGTATCTTGAAAACAAAAAATAAAATAAAAAAATACAGTGGAACCTTGGTTTTTGTCATTAATTCATTCCAGAAAGTCTGACAAAAACCGAATTCAACAAAAACT